AAAAAGAGAGAGATGGAGTCTTGCGGCAAAGGACGCCCCAGAGGAAGTGGAGATCATCCGAACGGTGGAGGTTGTGGAGGCTGGGTCCACCATGACAAGCGGAGGCTGGGGTGGGGGATGGCGGCGGCCTGAGCGGTGTAGTGGAACAGGTTCAGGGGAGGCCCGACCCCTCAGGAAGGGGGGGGTTCGTGTGGCCACGGCTAATTTATCTATGCGCAGCATGCGGTAGCTGGGAGGATGGAGGGAGATGAAGGGCCCAGCCAGGGAGGAGCCATGACCAGTCCTGAATGGGGTAATTGTGGATCGAAGGAGCTCTGCGCGCTGCAGTCTGGGTATAGTGAGGCCGAGCCTGCTGAGGGGGTTATGCTTCCCGCCAAATGGAGAGTGACTACCTTTAGCGGGGTGCTCTTCTCTTTTTGAGAAATTTTCTCTACAAATAAGGGAGTACCTCCTCTCAAACCAAACTAATTTTCCCAAAACTTGTTTGGTTTAGAAGTTTTCCAAACAAATCTCTCTCTCATACACATCAAATCAATCACTTTTTTCAAAACTCTCTTTCAAAATAATTTTTCAAAACATCTTTTGAAAAAAAACCAAACCAAACAAATTTTCGTACTTTTTATCTCAAAACATGCTTCTCAAATACAAACCAAACAAGCCCTTGATTTTTGGGTTTTTTTTTGTTTTTTTGTTTTTTTTCACTACAAGACAAATGTTTTACAAAATCAAAAAAAATAATTCCAAACAAAATATCACATCAAGGCCCTATATTTATTTTACTTTTTCTCTCATAAACATCACACCTAACCATAAAAAAACTCAATTATCTTCTCAAACACAAAGAAAAATTTATCCAATAATATCTTACAACTAAAAAAATTTACAAAAAAACTCACATCCCAAACACTCACATAGTCTCATATTTTTTCTTGTGATCCATTTAGTCATTTTGAATGTGTAATAACTTATTTGCTTGTCACATTGTAGTGTTACATTTGAGAAGTTATGTTGGAGTGTTATGTTTGAAAAAAATACATTAATGTTGTGTTTTGTTATGGGATTTGGAGAGGGATTTGAAAAGGGAAAGGAAAAATGTATGTAAAACTAAGTGAAATATAGGTATGCTTTATTCATATTTCACTGACCTTTTTTTATTTTCCTTTTCAAATATCTACTCAAATCCGCCAACCAAACACAACATAAAGAGTTTTTTAGTGTTACGTTGGAGTGTCATGTATATTCACATAACACATAATCACATAATTAACAATAAGTATATAATTAATATAATTATGATTAATTTGTCTAATTAAGGAGGTGGTCATGACAACACTGTGACAGCCAAACGGCGCCGTTTTGTTTGTTAAAAAAAAAAAGAAAAAAAATGAACACATGCTTTAAGCCGCCATCTTGCTGTAGTGTATGTGTAGAACAACACTGTTATGTTTGGTTTGACTTCAGGAAAATAAGAAGTCAAAAATAAAATAAAAAAATTTGAAACAATAGGTTTGATTAGCTGAAAAAATATATGTAAAAAATTGTATAAAAATTGAATTTTATAATATTTTCATTTGTCTCAAAAAAAAATTGCAAAATTAAATTTCAGGGTGAATTGCACCAATATTTCTTAATTTATAAAAAATGCAAATATCACTACAAGAATCTGTACTTTTAGCGACCACTTTCTGTGACCAATATAAAAGTTGGTAGCTAAAAGTTACCTTTTGGCGACCAAATATTAATTAGTCGCGAATGATCATTATTTTTGGCAACCAAATATGAGTTGGTCGCAGAAGGTCATATTTTGGCGACCAAAAAATGAGTTGGTAGCAGAAAGTGGTATGGTTTTGGCGACTAACTACAAATTTGGTCGCCGAAGGTCACATTTTGGCAACCAAAAAATAAGTTGGTCACAGAAGATAAAAAATAAGTTGGTTGTGAAATTGGCGACCAAAAGTTTGGTTGCCAAAAACTTATTTTTAGCAACAAAAAATATTTTAGTCGCCGTATATTGAGTTTTGGCTACTAAAACAATGTAGTCGCCGAATGGAAAATAAAAAATTATTTTTTATCTTTTGGCGACCAAAATTTTGCTCGCCAAAAAACTTATTTTTAGCGACTAAAAATATTTTAATCGCCGTATATTGAGTTTTGGCTACTAAAACAATGTAGTCGCCGAATGGAAAATAAAAAATTATTTTTTATCTTTTGGCGACCAAAATTTTGGTTGCCAAAAAACTTATTTTGAGCGACTAAAAATATTTTAGTTGCCGTATATTGAGTTTTGGCTACTAAAACAATTTAGTCGCCAAATGGAAAATAAATTTTTTTTTTCTTTGGCGACCAAAAATTTGGTCGCCAAAACTTATTTTCAGCAACCAAAAAAAATTTTGTCGCCAAATTAGTACTTTTAGCGACTAATATTTTAGTCGCCGTTGATTAAGATTTGGCAACTAAAAAAGTTTGTCAGCGAAGGTACCTTTTCTGCGACTGATCTGGCCTTTTGGTTGCCAAAAGTTTGGGAGGGAAATTTGAAATGTGGGGGCAGGAATTGAAATTTTTTTCCGACAAAAAAAAAATTGGCCGCCGATTGTTAAACGACGTCACTCGTTTTTTTTTTTTTGTTTGTCTTTTATGAGTTTTAATTTTTTTTATAAAAAGAATTAAATATTTATATTATACCCAACTAAACAAAATTTTAAAATTTTAAAATATACAAAATTCACTCCACCATTAAAAAAATAAAAATCACTTGAGATTATTGTTCGAAAAAAATAATTACTTAAATTTTTTTTTTTTTGGGATCGTCAGACCACTTGGTCTTTCTCTCTCTCTCTCTCTCTCCATCATTTTCATTCTCTCATCTCTCCTTCATTTGTGCTCACTTGATTCAGAAGCTTCTCATCACCAACCCCTTCACTCTCTCTCATCAACGATGGTGAGATTCTCTCTTTCTACATTATTCTCTTCGATGAAAAATGGACTATCAGCAGGGGTCTCTTCTCGTCGCCGATCCCCTTCACTTTCTCTCTTCTCGTTGTCGATCGATCTCTCATAGCCAACATCCTACCCCCCTCTTTCTCTCCATCTCTTTTATTGCTCTCCGGTGAATATCAGTTGACGAGGATCTAACATCTAACATCACATCAGTTATCGATCGAGAATTGAAATTTTTAATATTTTGAGTCTTTTGGTGAGGAATTATTTTGTCACTAATTTTGGAGAGAGAATTTTGACATGTTGGGTAGTAATGAAAAAAAATAGACTACTAATTTTTCCTCCTTTTTTGTTTTTATCAGTTTTTCTCTTATCTCTCTCTCTCTCTCTCTCTCAAAACAAAACATAAGTTAGCTCTCTTTGTTTAGCACCCCTTGTCCTCCTAATTTTCATCGCTAAATAAGATTAATTTGTGACAAATTATAGATTTTGTCACATATAATAAAAAAGAAAGAAAAGTAAAAGGTGAGGAAATTTATTTTTGCCAATAAATACTTCTTTTTAGGTGAGAAAAAATTAAGTTTCATCATAAAAAAAAATTTGTCTAAATTTGTTTGGATGGTACTAAAATTTTCAGACTTTTGGTGAGGAAAAAATTTGTCACAAATTATAAAATTATTAGTGAGGAATATATTTTCGTCACCAATGAGTCTAAATATTTTGATATCATTTGGTGAAGAGTATGTTTTAATAGCCTATAATTTTTAATATTTTAAGATCTTTTGGTGAAAAAATTATTTTGTCACAAATTTTAGAGGAAGAATTTTGAAATATTGAGTAGGTAATAAAAAAAAAATTGGCCACTGATTTTCCCCCCATTTTTTGTGTTTTTATTAGTTTTCCGCCTATTTCTCTCTCTAAAAACACACTCCCTCTTCAGCTCCTCCTCACTATCCACTATGCAGAACACTCCGTCAAACCCCTCGACGAGTGGCAACTCAAGCGCTCCTTCACCGACTTCCTCAAATCCTCCTTCTCCCTCACCGTTCCCGAAGACAACATCGTCGTTTGCAGATTCAAGGACCTCAAGAAGTGCAAGCGCGATGATCCTGTCGCTCACGGCGCTCTCTTCATCCGCGACCTAGGGTTTCTATCCAAGTTTTCTAGATCGGAAATTCTTCATGGTATAGATAGAGAAGACGATGTTAAGGAACTTGAGAAGAAGTTTTTGGATTGGAGAAGATCGGTTGTTGGTAAGACCGACGGGATTGAGTTGAATCTTGAAGGTGTTAAGTTTAGATTGACTGCTTCAGTTCCGGAATCGGATGATTTTGGAATGAGGAAAGAGAGGGAAGAGCTTTATGCATTTTTTAATCGAGGTTTGTTCTTGATTCTATCCATAGTTTTGAATTTTTTATGCTTACTGGTCTTGCTGTCTACAATAATGGATTCAGTAATCTAACTCAATATTTTTTCTTCTAAATGCTTAATAATTTTGCGAGAACTATTAGTAATAATGGATGTATGTATGTGTTGTTTGGTTGTAGGATATTCAAGAGGTGGGAGGCAGCAGCAGCCTGATACAATTGTGTTGAAAGGTGTTCCATCTCGCTGGTTTGCTGAGCCATGAGTTTCGTCTAAGCCTTCAATGCTGGTCACTCACACGATTTTTTCTGCGTTCCGGAAGATAAGGCGTGTGTTAATGTCATGGTTTCTGCTATTTTTCTGTTTCCCTGATGCAATTCCATAATATTGTTCTTGTTGAATTTGTGGGTGGTTGTGTTTTTTTGAGGCTTCTGACATTGAGTTCTGTTTTTATGCTCCAATGCACACATCATATTTGGGGTTATTTGATAAAAAAATGATATTCACCGGAGATGGACTTACCTCTTGTAACTCTGAGACCACAAAGAAGACAGAGCCAGTGTTAACCGTGTCATAAAGTCGAATTCGAACCAATTCTCTGCTACATACATGGTTCAGGCGAGTTCACAGATGGAGGGCCATGATCAACTCCCCTAGGAATAGAAAGTGTATTCTCCCAGTACCCTACATAATGTCGTTGGCTTGGTATTGAGACCTGTCCAATACATGCAGATCAATGTACTTCTAAACAAAATACTCATAACTACCAAAAGTTAAGACTGGCTAATGAATCCAATACCATCCTTTAATATGTTCAATTTATTAATGAATAGATAGTTCAATATTAAATAGCCCTAACCAACCCAAGGTTTCTTGGTTTGATTCTGCTAGTTGCCCACCCAAACCAAACCGACCCATACATGTCCCTGTTCCTTAGTGAACCAATTTGGAAACTGAAAATGTGCAAACTGCTAAATTGCATTTCGTTGTCATTTACTTCACAAAGTCCTACATGATAGCCTTTTATACATAATATGACTTACTCCTTCATTATTGGTAGTCCGTTTATGTGCATACATTTGAAGAGCCTCCTCTACTGACATGCCACTATAAACAAGGTAAGCAGATACCATCAAGCCTGTCCGACCTTTGCCAACCTGCAAAATTTAAAAAATGATACAGATATTAACACACATTGAAGACTTTAGTCACATTGAAGACTTTATGGAAGACTTTAGTCACATTAAAAAATGATGCAAAATTTTAGATAGCAACAAATATTTAGGGTTATTTGATAAAGCTGAAAATTCTTGTGCCGGTTAGTCACATTGAAGACTTTAAGTTTGCTCAAATCATATTTGAGCACAATTTTATTGGATTAGATTTAGTTTAAAAACTACCAAGAACTTGGCTTGTTCTGGTGCCTTTTAAAGAACATTGATGAAATAGTGCATAGTGGTTGGTTTGATGTTTTTGGTTTCCTTAATGTTGGTAAATGGAAGTTACAATAGTGGGATTTCAGAATTTTTTAATTGTGGAAATTTTAGGCTTTAACAAGGGTATCATGCTCTTTTCCTACTTGCATGTGCCTAGATTTTGAATTTCCATAAGAATGCTGATTGTTAGAAAAGTTATCAAGATAATATGCGTTTTGGTGCTCAAGGATGAGCTTCAGAATCTATCATGGGTTAGGAATATAAGATGGGTTTTCTTGTCTATAATATGGGTTTTCTTGTCTATTTATATGTAGGCACATGCAAGATAATATGGGTTGGTGCTATTTATATCATGGGTTGTCTATTTATAATATGGATTGTCTATTTATAATATGGGTTGGTGCTATTTGTAATATGGATTGTCTATTTATATCATGGGTTGGTGCTCAAGGATGAGCTTCAAATAATATGGGTTTTCTTATCTATTTATATGTATTATGTGTTTATTTTTGTCTGTAACACAGGAACAAGTCCAAAAACACAGAAACCGATCACAAAATTTTATATAAGATTTTTTAAAAGTGGGCTCTCCCAACACTTAAAAGTCTTATCCATATGTATTTTGTATTTGGTTTCTGTGTTGATAACAGAACTGAATAAAGAGAAAAAGATGAGAGAGAATTAGAATGAACTAAGACTTACCATAGTCTGTAGTTAGATGGTGTAGGGACCAAATGATTGTGAAGTGGGTGATGCCTTTGTGCACATAAAAGAGACCTATTTATACATCTTTGTTTTTATTCCATAATTTATCTTTCTTTTTCTGTCTATGGACATTTTATTCTATAATTTATCTCTGTCTCTATAGAGATACAACTTTATCTATTTTTACCATATCCTTAATTTTGTGTTTTTTTGCCTTCCAATCCATTCTATAATTTATCTAGTTTTTAACTTGTAACTCCTGTCTAGATTATTTAGAGTGACGTGTAACAAGGCATTGTGGTTTCACAAATAGATAGCTTTTGTTGGAAAATTGAGTATCTTATCTTATCTGTTTTACTAACTGATTTGTGAGTCTTTCTCCTTGCAGCTAGTAAAAGCACCAAAAGCACAATTTTCATGTGATTACAGTGATCACCTTGCTCTTGTCCAGGCTTATGAGGGCTAGAAAGAAGTTAAAAGAGACGTAGATAGATATGAATACTGCTAGAAGAATTTTCTTTATGCTCAATCAATGAAAGCTATTGATGCTCTAGGAAAGGAGTTCTACTCTTCACTTAGGGAATATGTTTTTAAATTTTAATGCTAGATGGATGTGAATTGGATGATTATATAGATTACAAGCGGATTTGTAATTGAAGCAATATGTAGTTTGGAATTACTTGTGGAAGAAAATTTGCAATAGTTGCTAACTTTAATTAAATAGGTTCAGAATTTAATGATTTATATATTTTGTTGAATGTTCATGATTTAGGTGAATTGTTGGCTTGATTGATTTTTGTAAATTATAGATTGTATTGAATGGATTGGATTGGATAGATTATTATGAATTACAGGTTTATTTTGTTGTATGTTGGTGCAAACATTCCTTTTGGCGACCAAAATTTTTGGTTGTGGAATGTGACAATTGGCGACCAAACTAAGACGTCGTAGAATGTCACAATTAGCGACCAAAATTTTTGGTCGTGGAATATTACAATTGGCAACCAAAATATTTGGTCGTTGAATGTCATAATTGGTGACCAAACTTTTTAGTCGTGGAATGTGATAATTGGCGACCAAACTTTTTGGTTGTGGAATGTGACAATTGGCAACTAACATTTTTGGTCAGGAATATGTTATTTTTCGCTACTAAAGTGTTTTAGCGACTAAATGGATTAGTCGCAATAATGATATATTTAGCGACCAAAAATTTAGTCAGCAAATCTAATTTTTTCCCGACTAACAAAAGTTTTGGTCGCTAATTATTTTTGCCGACTCTTAATTGGCGACCAAAGTGGTGATTAAAAAAATTAGTTACGGATAACTTTTGCCGACTAAAAATGGGCTTTTAGCGACCAATTTTTTGGTCGGCAAAAGTGTTATTTCTTGTAGTGTATGAGCGATATGTATCGCGTAAGGATTTTTTTTATTTTATAAAAAATGCAAATATGAGCGACATGCATCACGTAAGGATAAATTTATAAACTTTATCAATTTACTAAGTTAGTATCAACCAACTTAGTAATTATTTTTCATCAAAAATTCTAACATCATTGTCAATTGGACCAAATTGACACAAAAATCTAAAAAAATTAAGAGTCAAAATTGAGCTAATTGAAAGTGTAAGAACCAATATGATACAAAAGACAAAATTCAGTAGAGGTGAGCGCGGGTTGGTTGCAGCCATGAAACCTCCAATCCGTCATCCGTTCGCCAGATTGGCAGATTAGAGAAAATCAATCTGCATCCGTCCATTCTGGCGGATCTGGATTGAGCAGATTGGAGAATGGATGCGAATCGGTTTGACAGTTTAAAATTTTATAAATTTTCAACATAATTCAATTTGTGTACTACTTTAAAAAAAATATATTATTAAAAAAGTATTACAATCACTGTATGTCTCATCCAAAGAAAAGAAAGGTTGAAACTTTTGAATATTACAATCACTGCATGCCTCATCAACAAATTACAATCACAACATGCATCATCCACATAAAGTATTACATAAAGTATTACAATTTGTGATTCTTAAAATATAAAAATAATTCAAACTACCAAAACCATGAACAGAGCAGTAATAGAGATTGTATGCCTCTGTATTGTTACATCTATATTTGTTTTTGAAAACAAAAATCAACCAACATATATCATCTTTTTTATTTATTATTTTTAGAGTTAAATTTAAAAACCAAAAAATACAGATGAATAATATATTTATTCTTTTCAATTCAAAAAATATATTCAAATTGAAAACGCTTTTTCAACAGAATATTTAAACTCTTTTTCAATTAAAAACATAAACAGAATATCTAAACAAATTGAAAACATAAAATCTTACAAATTATTAGGGGTGCTCGCGGTTCAGTTGCAGCTAAAGAAATCTCAAATCCGTCATCCGTCCAAAATTAGGCGGATTGAAAAAAATCAAACCGCAACCATCCGCTCGTCATCACCAATCCATCCAAAATGTGACGGATCGGTTCGGATTTGTCAATTTAGGTGGATGGATATGTTCGTTACTCACCCCTAAAATTTAGAAAAAAAACTAATGTTGAAATATAAGTACTTGAAACAAATTATACTCTAATTATACAATCTATAATAACCATATAATATAAAAAAGTACATGTAACTGCTATATATATATATATATATATAACTGTAATAACTAAATTAAATCAAAAATAAAATTGAATTCAAATTATGAATCAACCAACCAACCGATTCAATGTTCAATATCATTCAAAATCCAATTCTTTCACATACCAAATCATCCAAAATTCAAATTACTTTCAAAAACATACTCACAAGCTTGTGTTTCAATTTTATTTTGTTTTTGGTTTATAGCTTCTCCTTATTTTCCTAAAGCCAATCCATATAAGTGTTGTTCTAATCTACACAACAACAAGACAGCAGTCGTGCTTGTGTTTTAATTTTGTTTTTTACACTGTTTGACAGCACCTACTTTTTAATAAACAAAATGACATTATTTGGTTGTTACAGCGTGGTGTTGTGACAACACCTACCCTGCTTCTGTAACTGCCTGGTATAAATCCTTATTAATAATATTAACTCTCAATATTTAAATTTTTTTACAAATCATACATGCATGGGTTGACTAAATAAAATATTGAGAGCTGCTAATAGTCGTATCCTTTTTTATTTTTTTTTCTTTACAACACTCACCTCTTATATTTTTAATTATAATTTTATTCTAACATAAAATTCATATTTT